GCAAATAATTATATCACAAACAAATATATGCAGATAATTCATAATAGATCTAAAATTCTAATAAAAGACAAGATGAGCAAGGGATCTTGCCTACGACGAGTCGATTACGGGTGTGGCTAGTGGCGTCGGCAGGTGGCACGGCGGTGCTGAAGTGGCGCTAGAGTTAAAGACGGGTCTGGACGAAGGGAAGGCGTTGTGTACTCGTACGTGGATGCGCGTGTGTTATGGTCGACGGGTAGATCAGATCGGATGGTGGATCTGGAAGGCTGACGGCGGTGGCGCATCTGGCGAGAGGGTCATGGCAGTGGATTGAGGAGCGAGTTGAACGACAAAATAAAGAGAGAGGGTAGAGGTTTTGAGGCCGAAGCGGCGCTGGGGTTCGACAGATCTGTTGGGGGTCGTGGTGGTCGGGGCTGAAACGGGTGATGACGACTGCGGGGAGCTAGGGGCACGGTGGAGGAGGTGTAAGGTGTCGGTGGTGGATGTAGGGCGCTGGAGGCGGCACACTGGGGAGAGGAACAGGAGGTGGGCGAAGAGGAGGGAGGATGAGGCGCTAGTGGATGTGTGTGAAGGGAGGAGGAGGCGGAGCGGCTGGAGGTGGAATGCGGTTGAGGCAGAAGCGAGGTTGGACGAATTATCTGGGCCATCAGCGAGTGCATCGCAGGGGAGGACGAGGGGGTAGAGAGGCTGGGAAAACGATCGTGGGTCGAGCGTAGGGGCAGGTGCGACGGCAGCGAGCTGGGTTGGGTTATGGAGTGGCGGAGTGAGGTCGGAGGGGAGGGCCGCGGGCGACTTGGGTGAGAGGAAGCGAGTTTGGGTTTGTTGGGATCTGGAGAACGAGGGGAGAGAGAGAGAGAAACGTAGAGGAGAGAGAAAGAAGAAGAAGGCATGCGCTGTGTTGCAGGGTACGTGGAAACAAACAATTAAAGATAGTACTATTATATATATATACTAATATATTTTATTTATATATTATATAAATATATACTATATATATATCTATATTATATCTATATATTAGTAGGGTTTAACAAATACATTAAAATAAGGAAACAATACAGAAAAATACAGGAAAAATACGAAGGAATGGAATAGGCTAAAAAAATCAATATAAGATAGTCATTAACAATAATAATAACAGTAACAAATAATCAAGTATTAGTTTAACAATTTAATTTATAATAGTAAAATCATTAAAATAAATATAATCTGGATTTTTAAATCATAGAAAATTCTAGAAAATCAAGAAAATATAAATGCTCTTTTAAAAATAATAATTGAATATTTTAAAATACCTTAAAAATTATTTAACTAGTATCAAAAATTTATGGTCATTATATTCTACCCCCCTTAAAATAAATTCCGTCCTCAGAATTAAAAAAACCCAAGGACAGAGATATGAAAGAGTAAGAATGTAATGCCTATGTAGAATATTAAAATCATGAACTTATTAAAATATATCACAAAACACGAACACTATAAAATAATCTAGAACATAAGTAAATGATAGATAGTATGACAGAAAACACACACATACATAATGTAGATATGCAAAAGTATAATTAAACACAATAAAATAATCTAAATATCAAATATGATATGCAATATATATGTGAAGTCTAGAGTAATGTAAAACATTTAATGAACATGATTTTAACAATTGAAAATATATAAGTATTGATTTTCCTTAGACAATGTTACTTATATATTTTTAATGAAAACATACAATATAACACTGTGTGTGATACATAAAATAATATAATAAGTAATGCAGAAATCAATACAATTAAACAATATATAAGTCAAATCAAAGAAAATATAGTTGTCAAAATAATAACATATAAAATAATGATTAGTACGAGGAAAGAAAAGTTATAGAAAGAGAGTATAGTCGGGAAGTGACGAGACAAGAAACAGTAAAAAGTTCCAGAGTCAAAAAATGATAAGGTAGAGACTAAGACATAATTCATCGAGATGATAGGATAAGGGCTAACTATAGTCTTACGGATGAAATATGATATACGTCTAAATTATTTATTATATTCTCACTAGTAGGAACTCGGGACCGTGACCTGCATGGACCACTAAAAAAAACATGTCATGCCTCACTTTCTAAAATACCGGGGAATCAGAACGTGAATAAGCCTGCGACATATTAGACTGATGAGAAATAAGTATTTGACCTTCTACTCAATCTAATACGCTAAGCATCAAGCAAAATAAAATGAAGTCACAGGTCCCCGATCACAGTAGCGAGAATATAATAAATAACTCGGAATAAAATAATATACATCACAACTAAAATATCATCCCAGACATAATATTCGGGTCAACATGCCCTTATACAAACTATCCAACTGAATGCTGAAGAGATATAGAAATACATCGATCAAACGAAAATAGAAAGTGTTACAAAAGTAATCTAGTGTCCATTAATAACTACAAAAGAGAAAATGACTAAGCTTCAGTTTGTTCTTTTGTTCCATCTAGAAGATACTCCGGCTGGGAATACTCCAGCTCCAATGCATCATCATACTAGACATGTTCGTCCTCTAAATCTGACGTACACTAGAGAAAACAGGTGTACGTCAGCACGCATGGCATTGCATGGCATTGCATGGCACACGGCAAGACCCCACAAGGGAAAATAGAAACGGTCGAACGACCAATGCAATAACAATAATAATAAATAGAAACATGCAGCTGGAATACTACAAGCTAGATGCAATCAACTACTAGAGTATAATAATCAGAAGAATCCATAAACATCTGAGTAACAAGGTCATACAACTAGATGAAAATCTACAACACGAGATGTAGTACGTCGAGAAAAATAATCCAAACAAGAAAACCCTCATGTATATATCGTATGTCTCTAATTGTAGATAATTAAATATTAATTCTGATCTATATATAAAAAGAAATATAACTAGTCCACATCTCAAAAGAATCCATAATCATCTAAGTATTAAGGTCATATAACTAGTCATCCTATAATAGCTCACTGGTTCACATCTCACAAGAGTCAACGTTCATATTCTCGGATAAGTGACTATTCACAAATCCTCTACATGCATCCAAACCCGCGAAACGAACGGTGAGAGGACTACACACAATCTGATTTCAGCCTGGTCCGAACTCAAGCAAAACTCGGGTGATGAAACGATTTTACTGATCACGTGCAAAACGATTCACTGGCCCAACAGACTAACCCTAGTGCAAAACGATTCACCAGAGCGAGCCTAGAAGATACATCAACAGTCATATCCGATCACATGAAAGAAGACTTTCCCATCCCAACTCTTCTCGTTTTGCTAAGTTAAGACAATACATATCCCTAGGTCATATACACGACACACAAGGCCACTAAGGTCATAAACTCCTAACGATTCTCAATCACAACAAGAAATGACAAATGCGACTGATCATGCACATTAGTATCATGGCATATCAGATAATTAAAATTAAGGGTCATAAATTTAGGAACACAACTATGTAATTCAGAAAATAATCTTTTTCCAAAATAATCTATTTATTTAAAATAATCAGTTTGCAAAATAAGTTATTTTAGTTTATTTCTCATTATAATAATCCAAAATATTCTCTTTTTGAAAATAAATTCCTTTAAATTATTTACAATTATTCTAAAATGATTCTTTTTCCAAAATAATTTCTTTTAAATTATTATAATTATCTAAAATGATTTTGTTGCCAAAATAAATTCTTTTAATTTATTATAATTATTCTAAAAATGCTATTTATCATATTATTATGATTTATCCCAAAATAAATTCTTTTAATTTATTATAATTATTCTAAAAATGCTATTTATCATATTATTATGATTTATCTAATATTATTCATCAAACAATCTATTCTAAAAATGCTATTTATCATATTATTATGATTTATCTAATATTATTCATCAAACAATCTCATGCAGATAATTATATCACAAACTAATATACACAGATAATTCATAATAGATCTAAAATTCTAATAAAAGACAAGATGAGCAAGAGATCTTGCCTATGATGAGTCGGGCTGCGGGTGTGGCTAGCGACATCGGCGGGTGGCGCGATAGTGCTGAGGTGGCGCTAGAGTTGAAGATGGCTCTGGACGAAGGGGAGGCGTATCACTGCTTCCAGTGGAGCCGTCGTGGTTTTCTGGTCAGCGAGTTAGAGCCAGATCCGAGGGGGCCGGATCTGGAGGGCAGTGACCCTGGGTGGCGACGAATTTAGCGGAGAGGTCACCGGCGGCAGGCCATTGAGGAGGAGCTGAACAACAAAATAAGAGAGAGGACAGAGGTTTGAGGCTTGAGCCGCGCTGGGCGTTCGATAGATCTGGCTGTGGGTCGTGATTGTGGGTCAGGGCGCTAAAGGTGCGTGATGACGATATAGCGGAGCGCTATGCATGCCGGTGGAGGATAGGCTGTACGGTGGTCGGCGTGGCGGTAGTGTAGGTGGTCCACTGGAGGGTGCACACTGGGGAGAGGAATCAGTTGAGTGGACGAAGAGCGAGGAGGATGAGGCCGTTGGTGGATGGTCTTTATCTCGTCACGTGATGATTGTGAAAGGATTAGAGGTCAGGCGAGCGGCTAGTGGTGGAATGCCGGCTCCTTCCTATATATATATATTATATATATATATTATATTATATTATAATATAATATATAGTGAGAGAATATGAGAAAACTGTAGGAGCACTGGCCAGCTCTTGTATGCGTGCGCTGCCTGGGTGTTTCTGAAAAAAACCAACGCGATCTCAATACAAGAACTGAGCTGGCCAGCGCGCTCTCTCTCTCTCTCACCCCAAGAACACCAGATCCCCAAATCTCTCCCCAATCTCTCAGATCCCCAATCCTCCTCGACCGATCTCTCTCAGATCAGAATCCCTCTTCCTCCCCCTTTTGATCTCTCTCAGATCCTCATTCCCCCTCTCGATCTCAGTTCCCCATTCCTCCACGAGATCCAGTCCCCCGCCACGAGCTCCTCCTCCAACCCCCGCTACTACCTGCCACGAGCTCCTTCTCCACGAGAATCCTCTTCGTCCCCCCTCTCTCACTCGATCTATCGGATCCTCTCTGCCGACGGACTGAGTAGCGCATCGCCGACCGAGACGATTAGCGCACCGCCACCGACGCTGTCACTTGATAACAATCCCCGCGAGATTGAATCGGTGTTGCAGGTAAAACTCGAACCCTCTATCGATCCCTTTGATGGGTCTTTTTTTTTCTTTAATTGGTTGTGCTGAAATTGGTGGCTATGGAGATGGGGTTGTCGATTTTGGGTGTAGAATGAATTGATGGGTTTGGTAGTTTTTATGCACATTTTTGCTGTTATGTTGGTTTAGTTCATGTAATTCACTAATTTTCTTGTGTTTAGATTCAAACTGTAAGTGTATTGTGACCTCTGACTCCAGTTAGTGATGATCAATATCCAGTTGCAGCAGTTTATTTTATTTTTTTGCATTTCAATAATATTCTAAGTAAGCGCATAATTTATGATAGGAAGTAGTTTAGATAATTAAGCGAAATCTTTTTTTCAAAAAGAAAATAATTGTTTGAACCACTTAGGATCAATTGAAACAACCTTCTTACTCGAGGACGTATCAGATGTCATAACAAATTAGCCAACATTAGTGGATTGAGGACTGGCAAATGCTTGCTTGCATAAGGACAGATTCTAGAGGAGAGCTCCTTTATTTTGTTTTTGTTTGGTGGTATTTGTTACTGCTAAGGTACAAAGGTTCTCTAAAGTCTAATTGTTCTAGTTTACACCAAGGTTGTCAATTACTACATCCAGTTCTTCCCATAATTTCCTTATTTTTCTTAAATAAGTTTGGTATATATATTTCAGAGAATGCCCATTCATTTGAACTGCTTGCTCCTTGGCATTTTTTTAGACAAATTGCTTCGCTTATATGTTGTGCGTGGTTGAATAATTGACTTGATTTGTCTTTGTTAGATAATGCTACACTATATATAGAACTGCATCTTCAATATTCACTTGTCTTTTTTCCATTGATAATATCTTTTTAAGGCATAAATTTCTAGGTGATATAATGGTAAGAAAGAGTTTTTATGTTGTAAAGAGAGGTCGACGTTGTGGTATTTTTTATAATTGGAAAGAATGCAAATCTCAAGTTGATAGATTCCCAAATACCTTCTACAAAGGGTATGCAACATATGAAGAGGCTTTGAGTGAATGGGAGAAGCACTTAAGCGTGCGTGACTTAGCATCCAGCTCAAGAGATATGCGTAATCCACCTGTTTGTGTTCAAGAGCAAATGTATCCAGAGGTGCATAATCTTCTTCAAGACAATGGACCACTTGGGGAAACTGCTATTTCCTCCATCCATGTTTTTTTATTAGGTTCAGTGTTTACAAATTTAATATTTCTAGTATGTATCGTTGCAGTATTTGTTGGTTTCTCTATCGGGGGAAACATTTGATGTGATTCGTGTATGATTTTTCAATTTGAGAATAAGCTTGCATAACTTGGGTCATTTTGTACTTAGTTTGTACTCAATTATGAGCTTGTTTGTTTACAATTACATTTACATTTTGTACATTGTTTCAGTTACAATTACATTTACATTTTGTACTTGTTTGTTTCAATGTGAGAATCCGTGTTTACAATTACATTTTGTACATTGTTGAAAGGAAAAGCTAGTTTTATTTTGTACAAATTTTGGGTACTTGGTCAATATTGTTGGTGTTTGAGTATTGGGAATTGGTTGCTTGTTACATAATGTTAAGAGAGTGGATCATATGATGCTAGCTTAAATTCATGTTTCAAATAGAAGTCTAGCTTAAATTCATGTTTCAAATAGAAGTCTATCATGGAGCATGATGGTTGGGCTGCAAATAATACTATTTCTTATCTACACTAAATTTGAGCTAGCAGCAATACAGCAATTACATTTTGTCCAATTTAACTGGACAGTGTTCATATGAGCTTGTCCTGCGTAAAATCAAGCTTGCTGGGAATAAAATGCATTGCCAAGAACAAGGAAATATTAATTGTGTTCACAAGATTTCTTTTAGGCAAATAGAGGACATCTGCATTACCAATGAAACAAAAGACATTTGCATTTCTAAAGCCTGCAATACTCTACAATCAAGCTTTGAACAACCACAATAAAACTCATAATTCCCTCAGTTCTCGATATTACATTACATTTCTGGCTTTGAAAACAGTAGGTCATTGAAATTAAAAAAATCTGTCCACAGTTATCAGACATGTTGCGTAATCCATTGCAAAGAAGGTTGTGCCGTGCCCATCCATTTGATAATTCTTCTTTGTTTCCTCATCTTCTCACAAGATTCCTCTTCTTCTTCTCCACAACTTGGGTTAGCTACAAATTTCATGACATATATTCATCAAATGAGACAATACATGGATAAGGTTAACTGTATTCTTCATATGACTTGAAAACAACTAAACTAAACATATAAGAAATTATTAAGCACTAAATCATATGTATCACTGAATCATAAGTTCAACGGCCACTGAATCATATGTGCATGATATAGGATAATTCTATACTTGAAAAAAACAAATTGTTAAGCACTAAATCCCTGAATACCTGAATACAAATTGTTAAGCACTAAAATAACCTGAGAAGTGAGAATACCCAAGAGGTTGTTTATGTTGACATGCTATGCAGCTATCTGGGCACAAGCTGGACTTTGAGATTGCTTTGCTGGGCACAAGCTGGACACAAGCTAGACTTTGACACAAGCTGGACTATGATACCATACAAGCTGGACACAAGATGGACACTAGAATAAATAGCAGAAAATCCCCCGCTAACAAGTTTCTTTGTTAATTTAGGTGCAGCAAACAAAAAGGTTAGAATTAATAATTATTGTATTTAAGGAGCTCAATGAAGCTGAACTAACGCAGAGTAACCTGAGAAGTGAGAATACCCAAGAATACATGCTTTAATATAATCTGAATTCTTCATATGACTTCAAAACAACTAAACTAAACATACAAGAAATTATGAAATAAGCTACATATGAAAAAAAAATTTAATTATACCTTGGCAAGTTGACTTTACAGCTAGTTCTATAATGCCAGAGTTCACCACATCTGCTACATATACGCTTCTTCCTCTCTTTCTTTTCCTGTGCTTGTTCTAAGCCTGACTGAATTCTAGTAGCATTGCGTGGACGACCTTTAGTCCTTGCAGGTTTTTTAGGATCACGAACTGTAATATGAGGAATGTGCTCCAGTGTATGTGAAATGGGTGCAAAAATCTCAGGATTATCTTCTGTTTCTCTAACTTCTTCTTCATGTGATTCTATGAAATTTGTTAGCACATTATCTAATTTCTGCATCCTCTCTTCTGAATCAAATGCAAGCTTGAGCGTATTATTGAATTTTGCTCTTAAAGCCCAAGATTTCAACAAATTAATCTTCTCTTCACAGCTTGTGATGTTTCTTCCAAACACAATATTGCCAACCCCAATGTTACGATGTCGAGCATGTATAGTCCAACGGTGTAGGATGTAATGCTCGGGTAATGAAGAAATTTGCCTATCCATCATTAGCGACAATATATGTCTACATACAACACCATTAGTTTCAAACAAAGCACAAGTACAAATGAACTGCATCTTACTGGATTGTTCATAAGTAACCACCTCCCATTTTCCTCTATCTGTAAACTTACAAATCTTGTATTCAACAATGTCCCATCTTTTCTCAATTCTTCACAAAACTCTGTACCAAATCATTTGAATTCAGTTTGGAACACATCAAACATGTTGCATGTATACATTTCTCCAGCTTGGACCTCAATCGGATGTCCAAGGAGCATGACAGGCTTTGTGTTAAGACTCTTAAAATCTTCATAGGCTTCACTTAAGCGACGATGAGTTAATGCTTTTTTATATTGTAGAACAAACTCGTGTAATTGAGTCTGTGAGATAACATACCCATAAAAAAATGCATTAATACTTACACTTCTTTGGCTCGATCTCATTCCAGCAAAAAAAGTGTCCTTCAAATAACATGACACCCAATGTTCTCTATATTTGTAAACAGTTTGCAACCATCCATCCACATCTTCATTTATATCAAACTTCTCCTTCATCTCTAACCAATGTCCTTCACACTGTTCAATTGAAGAACTATTACACCATAAGTCCCAATACCTTTGAAACTCTTCACCATAACGAGAACCCAAAGTAGGCAAATGATCAGTAATATGCTTTTGCATGTGCCAAAATCAATAACGGTGTCTTGTCATTGGAAACACGGAGTGAATAGCATTACACATGGCTCTATCCTGATCTGTTATAATAGCACCCGGTTCAACCCTATGCATGCATTTAAGCCATTCTTGAAATAACCACACGAAGGTATCTTCTTGTTCATCAGCTAATAATGCACAACCAAGCAAAGTGGACTGCCTATGATGATTCACACCAGTAAATGAAGCAAATGGAAGACTGAGCTTATTAGTTCTGTATATCACATCAAACACAACAACATCACTGAATTGCAAATAAGACGCTCTTGATCTTCCATCAGCCTAGAAAACACTCCTCATTTGTCCACTACTGTCTACTTCTATTGCAAAATAGAATTCTGGATCATTCGCTGTCATACTCTGAAAATGTCGAATGATAGATATGCATTCATGGCCAATATTATTGACTCTCTGGTATCTGATGTGATCAATACATTGTTGTGGTGTCACTAATTCACCTTCTCTTCCACTGGTTGCATTAATGACGTGAGAAATAGTGGAAGGATGCATACCTTCTTCTTGTAGACTCTCAATAAGGTTTTCACAACTTTGAGTTTTATGGAATTGTTGGTGTGATCTGTGCATTTTTGCTTTGTCTGGACTACTCAACACATGATTTGTATGTTTTATGGAATTGTTGGTGTGATCTGTGCATTTTTGCTTTGTCTGGACTACTCAACACATGATTTGTATGTTCTTCAACAAACCCCGTGACCTCCCACGATTTGTCCTCTAATACTTTAACTCTCATTATTGCCTTACATCCCACTCGGGTCTCTCGCTGAAAAGGCATCTCCATCTTGTCTCTATTAGATCTATATCCCTCCTTATCACAAACAGACTTTCTGTCTAACACGTCTCTTGTCTTCTTCGAATAATTTACCGTGCTCTTCCTTATTCCAAAACCCATCAACAATGCGTAATAGTTATAATAGTTATAAGTGTCTTCATAAGTATTAAACTCCATTCCGAGTAGTGGCTTAGGAGCATTTTCTGTATTGGCAGGAATTTCACTTCCACTAGCACAAGAGCTGGCCATTTCGAACACTTTATTTGCTGTAAAACAAATGCAAAGAAGAAAAAATGAATAAAAAGCCATAAGAGTAATAACACAGCATGGATTCATCAAGAAACAACTATAAAATACCCAAATAAATACTTCAGTTTAAACTAAACAAGAGCTTTGTTTAAATTGTTTGACAACTTTGACCATCAGTGAGTCTTGCTACATTCTGGCATGTTATTAAGTAGGTCTGTCAGCGTTGCAAGCTATACTTACATTTCAACCAACTTGGATAAGTTAAAAAAAAAAGAAACTGAGAGGCGATACGTTGCAAGCTATACTTACATTTCAACCAACTTGGATAAGTTAAAAAAAAAAGAAACTGAGAGGCGATAATGTATATGAACTGCTTGCAGCGACGCATAAATGTAACATATATGAACTGAGAGGCGATAATGTAACATATATGAACTGCTCAAAGTCATCACAACACATAAATAACCAGCTACAAACCTCATGTATATTCAAAATTTAAAAAAACATTGATGTAGAACCAAAATAAATTTGAGCTCAACTGCAATTGTTTCTAGCTCATCATGAGGAATATATGTTACAAAATTGACACTCTTTGCTACTGATTCCAATCAAAAGACCTCGTGTATAGGATTTCATTAATTCCTCTATCATTATTAAAATCACAGAATCAGGAGACCTAAAATATAATATATAGAATAATTACCTGAAAAGGCGAGAACTTGAGTTTGAGCGGCGTAAATGCAGCTACGACTTAAAGTGATGAAGATGAAGGATCGGAGTGCGCTGCTCGGTCCGTCGGCGGAGAGGATCCGATAGATCGAGTGAGAGAGAGGGGGCGGAGAGGATTCTCGTGGAGGAGGAGCTCGTGGCGGGTAGTAGCAGGGGACTGGATCTCGTGGTGGAGGAGGAGCTCATGGCGGGGGACTAGGTCTCGTGGAGGAATGGGGAGCTGAGATCGAGAGGGGGAATGGGGATCAGAGAGAGATCGAGAGGGGGAGGAAGAGGGATTCTGATCTGAGAGAGATCGATTGAGGAGGATTGGGGATCTAAGAGATTTGGGAGAGATTTGGGGATCTGGGTGTTCTTGGGGTGAGTGAGAGAGAGCGCTGGCCAGCTCAGCTTTTGTATTGAGATCGCGTTGGATTTTTTCAGAAACACCCAGGCAGCGCACGCATACAAGAGCTGGCCAGTGCTCCTACAGTTTTCTCATATATATATATATATATGAGAAATATGAGTATGCTTGGTACCAAGCATAAATTCC